AGACTTGGCCTCTAGGCCGGGACGTCATAAAATGAAAGACTCAGGAAGTAATTGCACAGAGAGTAAGCATGTACCGAGAAAAAAAAGAAAGACAAAATCAAGCGGTGATTCGTCACTTAAACAGGTTAACTGGTCGCGTTGGTTGTTTCCCAAACAGGTGGGTGCACTTTAAACATCCCATTCCACTTTCTCATTAAACATCCCAGCTAGAAACTCGAATTCATGCGCCCGCTTCAGTCCATTTTTTCCTTTTATCTGGCACAGAGTTCACACAGGCAATGCAATACGAATAACGACACCTTGTCAAAGTTAACAGTTTAAACTTAAACCGTGAACTGTAACTTTGATGTCAGCAATATTTTTTTCCTGCCGTTGAATAGCAACGGGTCCCGAGAAATGGAGAACGTGCCTGAAACTGAAACCTTCATTAATACAGTTTCTCTAAAACCCATGCGTCAGAGAAGACACATAATGTGATCCCTACGACCGCTGATCATGACTTTCAGCCATTTTGACACTGCTTGTCGACCTCCAGCACCATACGCAGCGCTGAGGGAGGGAGGCTGCGTGAGTCACAGGCCCTGCCTCGCACTCCGCTGTCGATAGTGATGGGAATGATAATATTGTTAATCTGATAAGGATTATGATGATAATAATGATAATAGTTATTGCTAATGTTATAATTATTATAATTATAATTATTATTATCATTCTCATCATCATCATTTTCATCATCATCATTATTATTACCATCGTTATTGTTATTATTATTAGTAGTAGTAGTGGTAGTAACATCTGTCATTATTGTTATTATCATTATCATAATGATAATCATAATGATGATGATAGTAATATTAATAATAATAATAACCAAACAACAACAACGGCATTTATAATGATAGTAATGATAATAATAATAATGATAATAATAATAATAATGAAAATAATAATGATAATAATAATAATAATAATAACTATAGAAATAATAATGATAATGATGAAAATATCAGTATTAATGTTGATAATATTATTATTATCATAATATTGTGAATGATAATAATGATTATAATAGTAATAATGATAATAATAACAACAACTATAGTAATATATTAATAATGATGATAATAATAAGGATGATAATAATAATAATACTAATGACAATAATGATGATAGAAATATCATTACCATTGTTGATGATATTATTATCATTCATGATAATAATATTATTAATGATAATGATAATGATAATATTATTAATGAAAATAATTAAAATGATATTGATTTTAATAATATCACTAGTGGTAATAATAGTAGTAACGATAATGGTAACAATAATAACAGTGATAATGATAATATGATGATAATAACAACAACGAAAACAATAGTTATAATAATCATAATGATAATAATAATAATAATACTGATAATAGCAATAATAATAATGATAAAGAAATCAATAATTGTAATAATAGTGATAATATTAATGATAATGGTGATGGAAAAACAACATAAGCACCATCTGCATTTGTTATAATTTTGTTCTACAGCCATTATTCCTACCGTGGTCGCTTCGGGTTGGCGGCGCGGGTGCTAAGCAGCCGAAGCAGCTATACCAGCATATGTCTGGCCGTGTTTTATGTTGTCCTTCCCTGCTTTCAGTAATGTCTTTTTTAATATGAACAAATAGCATCTGCTAAAGATAAGCTGTCAGCAATGCGAGCATTATTATTGCAGTTTATCACTGATTTGGCCGAGCTCTGCTGGTCGTCTCACCCTCTTGATTCCGGCAATGCGTCTCTTGTGTGGACTCACTATATTTTGTATATTCAGTACGCAACCTTTAAAGTGTTCAATATACTAAGGTACGATATTGATAATAGTATAATTTGTTCTTATGAATTTATGCCCAATGTATATCAGTTACTTTTAAGAGTTTCATACAAACTAGCATACCTCTAATGCCACGAGATCCAGCCGCTTCTTTTGATATCATCTCCCCCATAGTAACTCTTTCTCCAGAAACCTCATCAATGGGTGGGTCTACCACTGGTGCTCCTCATATTTACTATTAGTAATGTTAGAGAGCCTCTCAGAAAAAGGTCATCAAATGACCCAAGGTAACCCTACATCAAACACATGCCGAGCATCTGCACATCACCACCGGCCTCTCTCTCTCTCTCTCTCTCTCTCTCTCTCTCTCTCTCTCTCTCTCTCTCTCTCTCTCTCTCTCTCTCTCTCTCTCTCTCTCTCTGCCTCTCTCTCTCTCTGCCTCTCTCTCTCTCTCTCTCTCTCTCTCTCTCTCTCTCTCTCTCTCTCTCTCTCTCTCTCTCTCTCTCTCTCTCTCTCTCTCTCTCTCTCTCTCTCTCTCTGCCTCTCTCTCTCTCTCTCTCTCTCTCTCTCTCTCTCTCTCTCTCTCTCTCTCTCTCTCTCTCTCTCTCTCTCTCTCTCTCTCTCTCTCTCCTCTCTCTCTCTCTCTCTCTCTCTCTCTCTCTCTCTCTCT